AAATAAAGTATTGATATATAAATAATTTTTTTTTTATTATTTTATATAATTTTTACATGTCATTAAATAAATAAATATATTTAAAATTATAAATTGTAAATTAACAAAAAAAATTAATTATTTAAATAATATATAAAATTATTTTTTTTAATTGTTGGCCTCTTCTTTGTTTATAATGAATGCAAATTTTGCATCCAATATTTCTCTAATGACCTTGCTAAAGTCTACAACAGTTTAGCAAACTAATTAAAATTCAACTGAACTTGGTCCTATGAGTCAAGTTGCATTCGTCATCTTTGTAAAGGCTTACTCTCTCCTTAAAGCAACGGTTCAGTCCGATCCTATCATACTTATTAAAAAAAAACTAAAATTCAATTGTAAACTCATAGAAAATTCATGTATTTGTTTCACACATTTTTTTCTTTTTACTATAATTGGTTTAGGAATGAATGGGGCAAAGTCAACATTCAGCAGCTTGAAATATCGTCTAGAAACCACATTGTAAAAAGTACATGTGAACAAGGGAAAAACGTTTTCCACTTCCACTCACATTACCAAAGCATTATAAAACCACGGCAGAGAGACCCAATTCCGACCCGACGCGAGACACCCAAGACCCAGCCATGATGGAGAGGGAGCAAGTCAGGCCACTAGCTCCTGCCGCAGACCGCCCCAGCAGCGACGAAGATGAAGTCACTTTAACTCTCAAAAAGCTCCGTCGCAGAAAATTCGTCAGATGTTGCGGGTGCGTTGCCGGCCTCCTCCTCATCCAAGCCGTCGTCGTCATAATCCTAGCCCTCACCGTGTTCCGCGTGAAGGACCCTATCATCAAAATGAACGGTGTTACTGTCACCAAGCTCGACCTCATCAGCAACAACGGCACCACCCCCATGCCCAAGCCCGGCTCCAACATGACCCTAATAGCCGACGTTTCAGTCAAGAACCCAAACATAGCGTCGTTCAAATACAGAAACACCAGCACGACGCTTTACTACAACGGCACGATGGTAGGGGAGGCTCGAGGGCCACCGGGGCGGGCCAAGCCGCGGCGAACCATGAGGATGAATATCACTGTGGATATCATTACCGATCAGGTTTTGGCAAGTCCATATTTGAGAGCGGACCTGAATTCTGGGTTATTGACCATGAGTAGCTACTCGAGGATCGGAGGGAGGGTGAACATCTTGAATATAATAAAGAAGCATGTGACTGTGAAGATGAATTGTTCCATGACTGTTAACATCTCGAGCCAGGCGATTCAAAATCAGGTTTGTAAGCGAAAGGTTGACCTTTAGCTATGTATAGCCAATTAGCCACGAACCCATATCTATATATGGTGTCATGGATGTGTAGAAAGGAGATATATCGTTCTTTTTCCTTTATTTTATTTTATTTTTGGTATTAAAACTTTTACTACATACTGTATAATCTCTTATACATAGAGGATGCATGATTTTTTATTATTGTTATTATTATTATTATCTTATAAATAGTACGTAATAACTCACTTCTATAAATTTTTGATTGTGTGCTTTAACATGCTATCAGGTATAGGAACTTATTTCTTTGTATTCTGTGGCGGTTTTGTTCATGGCATTAACTTTCACAATCCACATCTAAATAAGGTTTAGAAAAAAAAAAAAAGAAGAAGGTGAATCCAAAACATGGAATTAGAAGCTTAGGGGAAAAAATACCAACAATTAGTCGAACTATGGGTTCCCTGAAACCCAGAAATATTGGAATCATGATAAAGTTAATTAGGAGCTTAGAAGAAGATTTGATTTTTGATTTTTAATTTTTCTAGCATGATTTAAATTGAGGGGAAGTGAATAGTTGACTCTAATGGTGAAAATGACGCTGGTACTACCAGTACCATAGGAGCACTATGGGTGAGGGGCAAATGCACACAAGTATCCGGGGACCAGAAAGTGCTTTTATTCCCACCAAACTCGAATTATTTTGGAGGTTTTAAATTTAAGTTTTAAAATAAATAATTTTTTATTTAAAAATATATTATTTTTTATTATATAATGTTCATAAAATATATTAAAAATAATTAGACTTTTTTTATTTTTA